TTACAACACTTATAAAATGTAAATTTATTTATAAACTGTATATTTATTTGAGATAACTCAATATATAATTAATTTCGACACTTTGTATATTTAGTGATAAATTCATGAGCATAAATAGTAATTTTTATTTAATGTTGACTTATTTTATATTTAATTTATATAATTACATTATTTATATTTTTTTTATTATAACTACAGATATCAATATATAAAAATGAAATCACATATAATTATTAAGAGAACATATATATATATATATATACTTATTTATTTACAATATATGTCAATAAATAATGAGATTTAGTCAAAAATAGAGATGCAATTAATAACATATAAAACTATATTACAAAACAACTGTAATTTTATACCGATTTTTTTGCAAACGTTTTCTAATCTCAGGTATTATTTTATTTATGTGGTAAATGAGGTAAAGCTATAAATCAATGCCTCATTTTCGTTGTCATGAATTTTGTGTTCAAAAATAAATTTAGTTTGTATTTCATCTAAAAATATCCATGAGATGATTAGTATTAAAAATGTAAACATTTTTGAAATTAATTTACTGAATATTTTATTTAAATGACATTATATTTTAAATTTGATTTATTTATTTATTTGAAACCAACAAAAATTGATATCTTTCTTGTGATCAAATCACTAGAAATGCTAATATATTTTTCAAATAAATAATATTCTCAAAGATTTGATAACAAAAAACAAGTTATTTATAAATATTATCAAACTATCAAAACGATTAGACAAAACAAAGATTCAACAATTGTTATGACTTTATTATGTTTAAAATATTTATGCATTTATTAAAAATTAAAATTGATGTTAAAAATCTTAATATAGCAATTATAAAATAAAAAATTATATATTTTTTATTATTTAAAAAATAATAATAACTTTTTTGTATCGACTTTTAATTGTTTGCATGATTTACATAAGAGCTATTCATTTATTGATAATAAAAATTAATAAAAAAAATAGTTAAACATAAACTTATTTTTAAAAAAATTAATTGAAACAATATATAAAACAAACAAATGGGAGTATAAAAGCATTATAAATATAACATGACTTCAACAGCCCTTTAAATCTATTATTTTGCTAAATATATACTGTGTTTCATAAATATGATTATTTTTTCATTATAAAATCAACATAAATATACAGACATTAAAAATAACAACAATAATAAACAACATAATAATAATAATAATAATAATAATAATAATAATAATAATAATAATAATAATAAAAGAAAGAAAGAAGAGTAAATTAATTTATTGCATTAATTTTAGACAGATTTTATAATTAATAATTGGGTCAAATAATAAACAAAATCTAAAGCAAATAAAATTTAGTTAAGAAAAATAACAAAGTTATAGAAAAACAAACTATAATTGTATTTGTCATTATAGTTATTAAGCAAAATACAGTACTTTTCATATAATTTAATATAGTTTGCATTCAAATAAAAAAAAATAGGAAATTATTGCTTTTAATAACTAAAATAAAAATTTAATATTTTAATTACAAAATGTTTATATATAGTTTTTTTTAAAATGTGCTTTATAATATGAACTTAATATAAAATTATTTATTAGTTTGTTTGTATTAATATAAGGGTTGGAAAAATACAGGGTTTTGAATTTTGACTTTGTATAATACAATGTATTGCTTGTATTATACAAATTAAAAGAATATTATTCAATAAATTTAATTATTTTCGATTGTCATTTCCATACTTTGTTAAAATTCCACATATTTCCACATTTTTCAATAAACATAACATTTATTTCAGAAATTAATAATTTAAAAGTATTGAAAATGCATTAATATTTATACAAAAAAAATTAAATTATTAAAAAACTATTTAAAAAACAACGAGTTTAACAAAATTACTTAAAACATTATATCATTAAAATTGAAATGAATTATATTATTAATTTATAAGTTTATATACAGTAAAATTTCAAAGGTTTTACAGTAATTAACAGTATATTATTTTTTAGACTAATGTATTATATTATATAATTTTTGACAAAAAATTAATATTTCAAGATCATTATTGATAATATAATAAAAATATGCATAAATTTGATTTAATTACCATTAAATTATAAAACACATTTTCACAAATTTTGGTTATTTTGATCACATATTTTTATAAATATTTAGCATATATTTTGATGTCTATAATAATTACTACAATCTGTGGTCCCATTAATATCTTTATCATCCGATAATATTACCTATACTCAGAAGGATTCATCTATTGATATCACAGGATATAACAAATTACTGATAAATTGACATATTTTATGAACTTGTCATCACTTTGAGATAACTATGTCAGATATATATATATATATATATTTACATAAGTTTATTTGTGTAACTAAATACAGTACACTATAAAAAACATATTACAATACATTGTTGCAGACATTATTAATAATGATCAATATTTGGGTTAAAAAATACGTAAACATAGGTATAGTATTTTTCAAAATTTACAAAACAAGTATTTACTTTATAAATTCATATTTGATAACATAATACTTAATTATAACACTGAAAATAATTGTTTACAGTTAAAAATAATATGTGTATCAAATAGGATATAAATCTAAAATGCTATTATAGAGATTTTAAATAAAAATTAGTTTTGTGTCATTTTTAATTATAACATTTTACATTAAATTTTTAAATAAATTATTTTCAATTTGTTATCAAATCTCGTTTTTCTAATTGATTACTGAATTCATATAATACTTTTAGTAAACAATCAATAGATATAACAATAATTAGTATTTTTATTAAACTTTTTTATTATTATTCAAACACTGAAAAATCTATACAAAAACCCACTCTTACTAAACAATACAATAAAATCAACAAAATATTATATTTAATAAAATTCAAAAGAGATAAGTTTTAAGTTAAATTATATTTGACATCAAATCAAACTTTTATTTGTATAGCTATTAAAAATTGTTAACCGTTTGACAATATTTTTGATTTCATAAAATGTGATAAAAAATTAAATTTGATTTAAAGATAATACAAAACAATAAATAAATAAAACCTAAATAACGGAAGAGTTAATTCGTGTTTCAGATAATTTTTAGTTAAATTGTGTATAAAAACACTTAATTTTAATTAATACAAAATATAGTAAATTTAAATAAATGCTTATATAAATTTTATATTTATTTAATTTATAATAAAAATTAACGCCCAATTATTTTATAAAATAATATATAAAAATCTTTAAAAATTGTGTTACTTCAGTATTTTTTAGTTCACTAATGCTATGATTATATTAATATAAAAATATATTTATAAATTGATATTTTTTATAATACAAAAAACTATTATTTTAAAAAACAGTTTTTTATGTAAATTTTATTTAAATCAGAAATGCTATAAATTATATTTAGAAACAAAAATCAAAATTGACTTAATTTTAAAATAACTATTAATTTATTATTATTATTATTATTATTATTATTATTATTATTATTATTATTATTATTATTATTATTATTATTATTATTATTATTATTATTATTATTATTATTATTATTATTATTATTATTATTATTATTATTATTATTATTATTATTATTATTATTATTATTATTATTATTATTATTATTATTATTATTATTATTATTATTATTATTATTATTATTATTATTATTATTATTATTATTATTATTATTATTATTATTATTATTATTATTATTATTATTATTATTATTATTATTATTATTATTATTATTATTATTATAATGGTTCTAATATCAGAATAATAATAAAAATTAAGTTTCAATAAACTGTAATTGTTATTAATACTAATACTTCTCGTAATAAAACCATATAATAATATAAAATCATTTGCATTTAAAATTTAAATTGTTATGAATTTGCACACAGAAGTTAATATCTAATAATAATAAAAAATAATATTTAATTATTATTTTTTATTGTTTATTTGTAAACTAAAACTATTTTATTGATATCTGTATATTTTAAATTAAAAATTAATTATAAAGAATATTAAATAGTCTATAATTTTTATTATAAACTATTTGATGAATAATTGAAATAATAGCATAAATTTGTATTTTCAAATATTACAATAAGTTAAAAATAATTTATTTCTAATTATTTTTAAAAATTCTTGTAAAGTAATATTAGTTTTCAAAATAATTTTTATACATTTTCTAGCATATTGTTTTTTATATTATAATTTTTCTAATTTAAAAATTGATTTTTATTTTTTTAAAATTAATCAAATAGCAAATTAACATACATGTATATAATAACAATCAAATAACTTATCTATTTGTGTCACTAAGTTTTTGAAAAAATAAAAATCTCTATAATAAACTAAATAAAATATTAACATATAATAGATTATGTAATTTGAGTTTTCCTGGCATTTAATGTAAAATAGCTGTCATCTTTAAGTAAAAAATTATTGATAACTTAATTAAAAATAATATTCATATTTTTGTTGTGTGTGTTTTTATACACTTAATACTAATTTTATTATTATATTAAAATACAAGTATTTTGTTCAAACAAAAAAATTTTATATTATCAAACTATTGAATATTACATTTAATGCAATTTTTTGTAATATATAAATAAATATTTAAATTTATATATATATATATATATATTAATAAATCAAAATTTATTAATAATTTGTATAAAACAAAATATAATTATATACAAATAAAACTTAAAAAAACAATTTTTGATGAACTGCACGGCAAACAGAGTAAAATAAAAATTATTATAATAAAAACAAAATTATTGAAAATTATTGCATAAAATATTATATAATTATCTTGAATAACATCATTACATTATATTGATTACAATTTATTTTATTCAAAAATTTTATATTGATTATTTTATTTATATAAAAATATTCAATAATATATTTATAAATTGTATTTGAAGTGCACTTAAATTTAAGCTGATTTAATAAATTGATCGTTTAGTCTCTCAAATGGTTTCATTGTGGGAATCATTGCTAAGTACCGGTCAATGAGGTCCTGTTGGACGGTATTATAGGACGTCGTTGTTCTGTATATAAGATGTTTGAAAATTGTTATAAAAAATACATATATTTTTGATGATTATTTCAAAAATGAGATTCAATTATGAGATTTGATATTTTGTTTGGCAGTCAATTATATGGCGATGAATGTGATGATTGTTAGTCGAAATCAAATATAATGACATCAAACCTGTCGTCTCTATCAAACTCTTGAGACACTATATCGAGCTCTTCGGTGGCAATCTTGAGGCTCTCCTCAGACTTTTCCAGATCTTTCTCCAGCACTTGAATTCGCTTCTGGAGGGCAGCCATCTCTCCCTCGGCCTTAATATATATATCATAAACAAAATACAAGTCATTATATTCATTGATTAGATTATTTTCTATAATAATTTGCGATTAGAAACATTAATTATTAAAAATTGAAATAAAAATGTTAAATCATGCAATTTTAATATCTAATTAATAAATAATTTAGATTTATCAATAATACTATATAATATATTTAACTCTGTTTTGTCGTATTTAAAATATATTTCAAAATTAATAATAATTGTTACATATTATTTATTTTTAGAATTTTATAAAGACACTGATGAGTTTATTATTAAATAGTATGCTAATTAACTATAAGTTAATCGATGAAAACTATAAATACAATAATTGTTAAAATCTAGCCTCTATTGCCCTAATACTCTACAATATATAATTAGGTCCTCAATAAATACAAATATATATATACCTGTATATTGCATTAAGTACTTTAAATCATAATAATAAATGAGCGGTTATTATGCTATGCATATAATTTGTTTAGACTTTATAGTGAGAAAAATAGGCCCAAAAATAATATATATTACAATAAACAACAATACAGTACAACAACTAAAGCGATAATCTATTTCAATATTTTAATAAATTATATCAAAAAATTATTATAAGTGATGTAATAAAGCGTTGTTTTATGCAAATCACTAAATCAAATGATAAGCTCTCCGACCAGTCTCTCTCTCTCTCTCTCTCTCTCTCTCTCTCTCTCTCTCTCTCTCTCTCTTTCACTCACTTACTCACTCTCAGTGGGTAAGCATAAAATATGATAACTTTTAAACAAAAACACTGAAACAACATTTATTATAATTTTATGATAATTTTCTATAAACACTATACCTAAGGCCAGGTGACCTTTTTATAGAAACTATATGAAAGTATATATATATATATAACTTACAGTCTATATATTGTACATAAATAATTGACAGCAAATACAAAATTAATGTTTTCAGATATGTTTTAAATGCAATGATTGAGAGCTTTAAATAAAAAGTCATTTCTTTAATTATAATGTATTTTTGATGAATGCATTGGTTTATATAATTTCAATTATTTATTTATCTTTTAATTATTACGTATTCATTTAATATTTAAATATAAAACGACTTGCATTTAAACATTATATCTGATAATTTGTCTACTTTAATATATTTCATTTTATTTTTTTTTAAATAAAAAGATATAAAAATTTTAGATTATTTAAATGCTGTTTAGCTTTATTTTAAAGAGTGATTAAACTCAGTTTATGACCAAATGTTTCAATAAATTTATTTTTATAAAACCTGACCGATGAAATTAAATATAAACATAATTATATTTTCACATTAAAATCCATAAATAACTTTAGATAAAATAGAGATAATAAAAATTATTTTAATAATAAAAACAAATATTGTAAAAATGCAATCAATGAAATCTTTATTAACTTATTTTTTTATGAAAAAAACATTTTAAAAATTTAAAATTAAATAACTTGGATTTTATCAAATTTACTTTTAATTTTTAATATAGAGATTTAAACATTATTTTCATTTTTAATATTACAGATTGACCCAAAACAATATATTTCAAATAATCACATAATTTAACAAAATTTATATACAGTACATAACATGTGCTTTTAATGCAAAATGCGTGGAATAATAAAATAAATGTTTAATTTTATCAAAAATAAAGGTGAAAATAAAAAATTATCACATAATTTATTAATTATACTTATGAGTTATAAATGCTAATAAATATATAAACAATAATATCAATAATAATAATATTCGTGAAATTGTTTCTAATTATTTGCATAATAATAAAAAAAATTAATAGGTTTTGTTAAATTTATCTATTAAAATATAATGTAAATTAGTAGTTAATACAATAATAAAAGTAATTTCATAACTTTAAGTTATTTTTTATTTTGTTAAACATTGCCTTATATGAACTCTTACTTAAAATAAAAATTAACACAAGAAAGTAATTATTAAATATTAATAGATTTTTAAAATAGATATTTATTTCAATATGTTTTTGTCTACACAAATTCAAATATATATAACAAAAATAATTTCCAAATGTAAAATCTTTTCAATATCTTTTTATCAATTAATAATAGAAAAAAGTGCAAATTTAAATACAATATATATATATATATAAAATTAAAAATTTATTTAGTTTGATAGCAAAAGTAATTTCATTGTTTTGTTTTTTCAATAAAAGTCTACATATGATTATGAAATACACAAAACAAATTATTATTCAAATATTAATTATAAGTAAACAAAAAATTCAAATAAATAAAAAAAAATTGTAGAAAGATTTAGATAAGAAATAATTAAATAATTATAGTTTTTTTTATTAAAAAAACATTTTGTTTTTATAATTTTATAAATAAAAATTTAATATATAATTTAAATAAAACACAAATAATAATACAATTTTAAATTAACAAACTTAAAATTGTAAATCATTATTACTAATACACATAAATTATCAAATAACAGTTTATTCCGAATTTAATTTAATTAATTTATTAAAAATGAAATCTCAAGTGCGAACGTAATATGTGAACCACCCCTAAGTATATAAATTGTTAACATAGACAAGAAAAAAGAAATCTAATGTTTTTATTAATTATATTATTTATATATTTAATTTTTAAATATTTATTTAAAATATATGCCATAAACTAATTTTTGTCCATAATTTTGAACTTAATTTAAAATGTAATAAATAATGTTTTTTCTTAAAGTCATATATAAAGTATATTTAGTAACAATAAATAAAAACAATTGTTATTCTTTTTATATTATTTTGAAATATAAATTTATATATAAAAACAATTATTTTTAAATAATAATTTTTTTAATACTTTTAAATTGTAAAAAATATAAACAACGCCTTTTTTGTTAACTTTTATGTTGACAGCTATTTGTTGATATAAATTATATTGTAGTTCAATAAACTTCATAATTATTGTTATTATTATTATGTTTGTATTAAAACAGTGTTATTTAATGAGATTCACAATGTGCTGATTAATATGAGACAAATATATCTAAAAAATATTATATTAAACTGTATTATGCTGTAGTAACTGTTATATAATACCAATTTTTAGAAAGTGTGATATTATTAATTCAATTATCATTTGATTAATAATAATATACTATATTATAATAACTTTAATACTGTACTATAGATATTATTAAATAATTTTAAAAAAATTTTGACGATTAATAAAAAAAGGTATAATATTATTGAATTTTAATATTTATATATTAATTATATTTAATTAAGATTGAATACATTATTAATAATTTATATTTAGTCTTTGAATAAAGTATTTAATAAAATAATAGATAATAATAAACTAATAAAAAGTTTTTGTGATAATTAAATGTTGTTATTTAAATGAGTGAAACTATTTTGCTATTTATAAACGAAAATTTATTTACTATTAATTTAATATGGATTTATGTCAACTATAATCAAAAATAGCTAATATTAATGACACCACAAGTGAAACCTTAAGTGATATAATACCGGTGCTAATGATTTCATTGATTCTCTGGAAAACAGTAATTAAAGAGTAAAATTGTAATTTTTATATATAATTATGTCATATTTAAATGTAGATTATATAAAAATAATCTGATTTTTGCGAGTTTATACTAAATCTATAAATTTTATTGTTAAAGCATTTAAAGTACGAAACAATTTAAATAAAGCGTTTGTTTGTATTGATATTTAAAATATTTGTCTAATTTTATAATTTGATGAGAATTTTTTTTAACTATAATTAAAATTATTCACTATATTAAAGATATGAACACGATTTTTGAGACACATTGTATTTATATTAAATAATGCACTGATTAATAATATTACATGTGATTAGGAAATTCATTCAATTTAATTATCACAATTAATTGCATATGTTTTATAAATATATTAAGCATTTTAATATAACGTTAATTCACGCCAATAAATAATAGAGTCCAACAAAATGATTCGTAAATTATATAATAGTATTTCAATGAATTAAAATAATTATAATTCAATGCAATTTACAATTGTTTATTGCTTTCTAGTAATAAATAAATTGATAAAACAATATAACAAAAGAACACTTTTTTATATTTATCATAATTTTAATCTTTTATATTATTATTATTACTTTTTGATAAAATCTATTTAATTTTATTTTGTTGTAGTAGTGATAAATTATTTTATATAATTAAAATATAAGTTAATTTTCTATTCTCATAATTTTTTTATTTAAATGATTTGTAAAAATCTCTTTTAATATAAATCTTATTCAAATATTTGCTGTTATTACTGTTTCACATTTTAAGTGTTTATTATTTTTGATTTAAATGTTATACTATGAAAGTAAATTCATTTCAAAATGAAATCAAAATGAAATAAAATATTTGTAATAATATATTTTGTACTTTTATATTATAAAATATATACTATTATATATGTTATTATTGTTAATATTAATTTTAAATTTTACCTTGTATTTAGTGCAAAAAAAAGTTTATTATGATAAATATATTGTATAATATTGTTTGTATATTACTGATTTTAATTTTGAATATTTCAAAATATATGCAATTATAATATTAAAAATAAATAATTATAAGCTCTAAATATTATGAAAATATGTGTTAAATTTATTATTTAATTTAAAATGTTGTTTTCAAAACATAAATTTTCTTTAAAATTGAAATCAATATAAAAATTTGATAATAATTATACATTATATATAAAAATATACTGTAGTACAGTATTATTTATATAACAAATATTGTATATTATCTAAAAATTTATATAATTTTTTTTATATAGAATTTAGAATAAGAATAATAATAATAATATGTTAAAGTTATAATCATATTTAATAATTATTTAACAAATTAAGACGTTATTACATTTATAAATTACAAAGATTTAAAACATTTTGTGATAAATACATAATAAAATGATAAAGTAATTATTTTATATTAATAATATTATTCATATATTTATTATTTTGTTTGAATTTTTATTAAAGTTCTCAACAAAAAAAAAGTTTGTCTAAAATTTATTTTATAAAAAAATAAAAGTTATAAAATATATTAATATTTTAAAATACAAAAATGCAAGAAATGAAAACTTTAAAAAGTTGCTAATTATATTACAGTAATTAAAAAACCAGATTTTAATTAATCATTTAAAGCAATCACTTTATATAATGAGACAAAAACTTACAAAATTATTTCTAATATATGTGTAATTAATAAATATTTAAAATTTTTAGGTTTTTTAAATAGTAAATAAATGTTTTTGTTTTTGCTCTTAAATAAAATGATCGTATAAGTAAAAATTAATATAACTATGAATTAATGGTATAATAAATTATCATAATATTACTGTTTAGATAATCTAAAGTATATGTTATTATTTGTGTATTTTAAAGCGATAAAAATATTATGTTATAAATAACTAGCAATTTGTCCACTTATTTACCTTTTTTATCACAAATAATTATAATTATAGCTTGAATTCTCACAAATAACATCTTTAAGTATATACTAAATAATTGATTAAAATCTTTAAATATAGTGATATATGAACTTTGAATTTATGATTGATTACTGTTTTACTATTATATATATATATAAAGTAAAATATGTAAGTGTTAAAGCATTAAATAAAATACTGTTATAACTTATAACAATAATGTTATATAATATAATAATTATATTGAATAAAAAATCTATGAATTTATAAACTCAAAACAATCGTTTTTTTGTTTATTTTATAAAACAATGATAATATTAGACATACAACACAACGTGAGACCATTTCCCATGAGTTTTGTGATGATAACAGTAATGTAATTGAAACTGAATGTAAAAAAATCAAATTCAAAAACCAATTCAAAAAAGACTAGTAATAGCAGACATGCAAAGTGTAAACCCATTGAGTTTTGTTATATTATATCATATAACTTATATATGTCTAACAACTCATAAAATACATTAAAGTACTGTACTGTATATCCAACATATAGTATAGGAAGAGTTTATAAATTATATAAGTTTAGTTGTAATCATATATTAAGTTTAATGTTATTTATAGCTAAAAATGGTTCATTTTTATATTTTTTGATATTCAATGTGTTTTTATGAACAATAAAAAATACTTTTAAATCAAACAAAATAAATTCATACGAATCTATATCGAAGTCTTATTATTATTGCTATTACTATTGTGTGTTGTGTTTGGCAAACATTTATCAAAATATATACAATAGAAATATAAAATGAAGTCAACTATAGATAAAAAAAAAGTTTAGTTAACTATTTTTTAAATATCATATTTAAAACTATTTCCTTACAAGAGATTTACTTAAATACAATTTTTTTAATTAACTTAAAAATGATATAAACCATAAAATAAACAGAAAAAACAATCCATAAAATAATCAATCTTTTAACTCATGACCTCCAAGGGGTTATGGGATTAAAGTGTTGTAACAGGTATTATATTATGTGTGAGCTGTTAGGCACCGACACACAAACATAAAAATTTTATTTTAATTTATATCAGACATAACACAAAACAATTTATTAAATTGTAAAACATTTTTAATTAAATTATAAATTAAAAACAATTTTTTCGGAAGCAATCTCCAAGAAATAAAGTTTATTGAAATAAACATTTTTATTACTTTTTTCATAAAATACCGCAATATTTCCAAACATTTTTTATTTGTATGAAATAAGTTTGTGTTAATCAAAATATATCAGTAAATTATGTTTAACAGAGAAAACATGCATTTAATGTATAATAAAAACTGCAATAAAGGTGTCTTAATCAGTCATAATGTGTTAGATATTTTGGGCAATACGTGTATAATAAAAATTTGAATTTCAAAAAATAATTATATTTTTCTGATAATTTTTTTGCTTCTCTACAAAAAAAATGTTAATTATTTTTGGTAATACTATAAATAAAATATTCTTCATAAAATTTTTTAACAAAAAAAGAGTTAAAAATATAATCACTTAACATATTTTGAATAATAATAATAGCTTTTAATCTATTTTGAATTATATAATAATATTATTATATAACTAAAACTTAATTATTTTTGACTACTATTTTCATAACAAAAAAATTGCAAAATATATATTGTTTTATTATATATCTATGTATACAAAAAACAAAACTTTTAATAATAGTTTTAATACTTTTAATAATTTTGTCTGTAATCATAAAAAGTAATTTAAAAATGTTGAAAAAAACAATGACTAATGACTTACTCGTTTTAATTGAACGTTTTGAATGTTATGCAACTCATTGGATATGACTCTAAACTTCATGATAGTTCCCGATGAGAACAGGGATCCGCCAAATGCTAGACCCGGATAGCCGGCGCTGGGATTACGGCGCCGGCGTTCACTGATCACCTCTGTTTGTACACTCGAACAACGCATTTTGGCCAACTCTTCGGTCTCCAGGTCCGACTCGTTTTGGCCGCTGCTGTCCGATAATTGGCTATCCATTGATGGCGAACCAGTACTCTGTGTGGATCCGATAGATATGTCACCACTTGAACGATCGTCAATGTCGTCGACACCGATATCACTGACAGTTCTTTCAATGATCACTTGTGTCATAGCATTGTGTTTTGGCATCACTTGAGTTAACAATTTTATAATAAAAATTTTTGATTTTAACTTAAGCTCAATATTAATAGTATAATATTAATTTGTAACCAAATTTTTATATAATTATTATTGCGAACAAACATGTGAATTGACTAAATTTGTTAATTTTTACAAATAACTAAAATTGAAGAAAATTGTGTTTGAATGCAAACATACAGTCATTTAGTATATAAACAAACTAAATGACGATTTATGTAAACTAAAAATAAATGTCTGAATCTATTCACACCATACCATCACATCCGCACAAGAAGTCATGTCATCTCACATGAGAGGCTGAGACGACTCTAAACTTTTAACACACTATTTGTAAAGTCATTGAAGAGAGGAATAGATAGACTGATAGACTAGTCGTACTGTTGCTTCTCCTGCTTTTCTCTCATGATATCTGTTTAGACTCTCTTTCTCTACCTTTTTATCTCTCTCTCTCTCTCTCTCTCTCTCTCTCTCTCTCTCTCTCTCTCTCTCTCTGAGCTCTCTTTCTAAACTATTTGCTTGTAATCATGTATTGAATATAAACTTTTAAATACAGTCATAATAATAGAGAGTTGAGAGTCAAGTAATAAAGTTTTTAAGCAACAAATTAGGGCATTCATACACTTAATATAGAACTTATAACTATAGGGCCACCAAATAATAAGGCGTTGGTGTACTCTTTGTTGGGCTCATACATGAAAGAGAATGCGTTTATATGGGCTAACTGTGCTCTCGGATATACCTATATATTAATATCAGCACTAGTTTTTTGTTTCACAAAATACCTTATCATAGATATTACCAGTAAATACTGGTGTGTATAACCCCTATGTATGAACCGATGCCATCATATGTAATAAAAAAGCATTTAATTTATAAATTATTTCCGATTTAATTATTATTATATATTAGTTGTTAGCAAAATGTTTTTTAAACAAAAAGAGTTTTGCCCATAAATTTGCTAAATATATAACTTAAATAAATACTATATATATGAAATCAAATTACCATAAAGTTATTATTAAATGTTTATTATTGTTATTACAAAATACAATAATGTTATTAATAACAAAAGAGTAAATTAATTTTTATTCTGGCAAATGGCTTACACACAAAAAAACTATTAAATTATAACTTAGTGTTTGTTAACAAAAACTAATATTTTTTATTTTTAATTATTATTAAATATTATAAATGAAATGAATTAATTATTTAAAATGATTAAGCTTTGATGTATTTTAACAATATTATAAATGATTTATCGTTGTTTAAAACAAGAGTGTGTTACACATTTTTTATAGCATATCAACAATTGATGGCAAAATTAAAATAATATGCTGTAAATATATCATACAAAAAACATTGAATTTAATTAAGTAACAATTACTGTATTAAAATAACACAATGATAGCAAATCTAATGATTACATATGTAATACATAGTATCATATAATATCATGACTAATAGACATTTAAGGATAAAAATAATTAATATAAAATTTTTATTTGTTGTTATTTAAGTTACATTTCTTACATTATTTATACAGTTAGCTAAAAATCTTTACTTTTAAATTGAAATAAACTAATAGTTATTGTTTTATTCTTTTAAATTATGGAAATAAACAAAATAAAACATACAAATTATCAAATAATATATATATATATATATATAAATAGAATGCTAAATAAAAATTATTATTATTATATATAATTGAAATCATCGTGTTATTAGACAATTAGTTAAATTAGTTGAATAACATGTTTGAGACATACCTTTTAAATTATCAGTTGTTGAATGTATTTTCTAATCATATTTGTGGCAATAATTGTATTTTAAACATTATATTTTGTAATTTGTTATTATAAATACAAAATTATAAATATTATTAAATTATTTATAATAAGATTCATATGTGTTTTGTTTGCTATCAATAGATGATAGAGTAAAATGATTTACGGCTCACTTTTCAAAACAGTTGTGTGAAATAAAACAAATTTTTGTTGGTTTTTATTATTTTTTAAAAAAAAGTTTGAATTAAGAAAAAAGAGAAAAGCAAAGAAAATTATGTGAAGTCACGATACAAGAGGAATAGCACCGGTATGTATAATATATGTGTGTGTTTTGTCAATGACCAGTAAATGTTTTGTTATACAATACAATCCAATGAAAAAATTATACCAATTGTGTTTTCAATAACTTTTCCTCTCTCTCTCTCTCTCTCTCTCTCTCTCTCTCTCTCTYTCTCTCTCTCTCTCTCTCTCTTCTCCATCACTTATTTAGTCATTTGGTTGATATGAACCATACATAGCAAATGATACTATAATTATATATATACCGTATATATGTATGGAATGTAATGTAAAGGACTGATATTTATTATGATAATCTGGTTTATAAGTAATATTATAATAGACATCAAATATATTAAATCCATTGGATCGTTAGCCCCTAACTTTCAATGTTAAATATGATTATTATATAAAATACTATATAAGGGCAGTACATTAGGTATCAAATTTCAATAATGATATAAGATACACTATTAAATTTATGTATGTGTATGTATGATATAAAATTACTTTTTCTTTCAATTTATTTAATAATTTAAGGGGACTTCAATGGAAACAATATACAATAAAAACCGGGGCACATATGTTATGTGCCATTTAAATTATGTCTAGACATTTGGAGACAAAATAATTAAAACAATTTTATATAATAAGAAATAACTAATATCATATATTCATCTAAATTATTGAAAAGTCATATAAAATATTTCCCTAATATATAATTATCAACTCATCTTATAGTAAATTATTAAATAATAAATGTTTTAAAATACTGATGTTATTTATAAAAAAAATAATTAAATGTGTGCCTAAAATAATATAGTTGTTTGCGTGATAACTGATATAATTTATTTTGTTTTTTAATGTATCATTATTTTATTATCACAACTATTTTATACACCTCTGTAAACCTATTGTTTCACACATATAGTATATTACATATTTATATAATATAATATATGTACACAAAAAGGTTAGTTTATATAAGTTATGCTTCACAAAAAAATAACAGCACATGATAAAACGTGCATTTATTTATATGATATACAATGTGATTGAATACACTGTTTGTACTTACAATTCATGGACTCCGGTAATCATGATATCGGTGCCCAACAAAATACAAATCATTGTTGGTTTTATGTGTGATATATTGTATTACTTTATTGTAAGTTTTCTCATGTGAATACTTGACATGAATTTTATTTTAACATTTTTTTGACCGAAAAATATAGATTTTCAATTTATAAACTTAATGCTATTATTTCTCTATTTATGATGTCTTCCCACAAAACAAATTATGAAATAAACAAAAATAATATATTATTTGAACAAAAAAACAAATAGTTATTTTAATTTATTTGTATAACATATTGAAACACAAGTCTTAAGTTATAAATTGTGTCAAATAAAACAAAATATACATACATTTGAGATATTAGAGACAAATATTTAATATTTATAACTGATTTTTAAATTGAAAAATAAAGTAATCAAAAATAACTTTTTTTTAAAAAAAATTATCACAATATTTTTTAAGGAAATTGGAGTCACTTTGTTATTAATAAAAATATAAATCCTTATTCATACGATTACTAAAAAAAAATTTTATTCCAAAAAAATTTGATTTTCTATCAACCCTTTGACTACATTAATAAATTACTAAAAACAGATTGTGAATAAACAACATAAATGTAGGATTAAGACAATAAATCATATTTATTGCATAGAGATATGTGTATTAGTATTACATTTTATAAAAGCTGTTTCATCGTAAAGAGGATTCATTTTATTAAAAACTAAAAAACACAAAAACAAGATTAGAAAACAAGTTAATTCTCATATATTATAATATGAAAATTTATTTTACAAATTTTTATCAATCAAAGATATATACATTTAAATATTGATTTATAAAAGTATTTTATTTATTTTAATTCTAGCATTCATTATATAATAATATATACATCTTTTCTCTATTATTAATCAAACAGAAAACAATTTATATATTAAATAAAATTAATGATTATATAAAACGGTTTTAGTATTGTTTGACAAATTCGTGAGTGTTTTTATTTTTGTAGATTAAATAATTATTACTATAACAAACATTTATTTTATTTAGATTAAGAATTATAAATAATTAAAATTACTCTAAATAAATGTAAAGCTAATGTAACAATCAATTTAAACTAATTTATTTTTTTAAATCTAAATCTAAAAAACTTATTGTTTTTGATTTGAGATAACACCTGAATAGCTATGGGAAGACCTCCTGGTGTTTGTTTGCAACTGTCAAACATTAATTGGTTACTGAAACTTAAAAAAGTTAATTAATAAACTAAACATTAAATATAATTTATATGGTAGCCTATTATTATTTAAAAAAATTCAGATAAAAAGACAAACTAAAAATAGTAATACATTAATAAAAGTTTATATAAAAATAAGTTAATATAAATATATATGAATGAATATATTGTTATATTAAACCTACTTTTATTCATTTATTTTGATAATTTTTCACTTTATTTTAATGAATAGTCTCTATAATATTAATTGGATCTTTTATTTTTAATATGTTTTTTGTACTGTAGTATATTATGCATAAAGTTTTGTAACTTATATTAGTATTTGACTTCAAACATAAAATATGATAGAAATTATAAACTTATTTTGAACTCACAATCATTTAATGTTTTTAATTATTAGTTTATTATTAGTTTATATATAATTCAATCAATACACTCAATAATTACCAAATCATATGAGATAATCTTTAAAGATATCATTATTATTAATATTAATATAAAGATATTTTTAATGTTAATAATATACTAGTTATATAATATATAGTATAATACAATAATAAGTAGATTATTATAATAGAAAACATTAATACTTTTTATTTGTTTTTTATTTACAAGAATAACTAATAATATGATACACTTATCATTATTAATAGCAATTTAAGAGTATTAATTTAATAATTATTCAAATATCTTAGTTAAAATAAAATTTTAAATAATATGATAGTAAATGCAAATTAATATAATTAAAAATAATAAGTTAAAATGTAATTGTTTTTATTATTATTTAATAAAATACTCCTAAGTTACAAAATATACTCTTTTATTTTATTTTTAATAATTTTTTAATACAAAATTATTAAATAGCAGGTCAAATATTATTATTTATAAAAATTAATTTTAAAATAACTAAAATAAAATATTAAATATTAAGTTGGATAAAGTTTTAACAAACTTAATACTAGAAATGGTATTCAATTAAAACAAATTTATAATAGAATTTATTTTTGTAATATTTTTTTAATTTGTGTATATATTTGTTTAATTCATTGCCGAAAAATTTTAGAAATGAAATAATTTTTTCTAAATTGTTTAATAATTGTAATAAATTTTTATTAGATGTTTTAAACAAAGTTTTATTTTTTGATTTTATTGTATAATATATTTTTTAATTTGTATATATTATAAATTCATTGTATCAACTGTTATGATCAATAAAAATATTATTATTATACTTTGAAATTAAAACAAATGCATAACTTATGTAACTTATTATAACAAAAGTTTTGTAGTTAATGCAAAATTAGTCAAATTTAATTAATTAATTGTTTATTTATGAATTATGTAACGGATGACATTACCTCGTGATGACATTTTTAATTTACTAAATATCTTAATTGCAATTTAATTTTAATTTGTTTTACAGAATTTTTTATCACTTTATGCATTCAAATAAAATATAGCATTTTTTATCAATTAATATATTTATTAAACAAAAATGACTAAAATATAATAAATAGCTATTACTTTATTTCTATACTAACATTATAATAGAATGTGTTTTTTGCAAAATAAATAAATGACATAAACAGGGGTAGTATATCATATATTTTGAAGCCCCTATATGTAGATTATTTTTAACATGTGTTAGTTGACAATAAATTGACCATGATCATAATCATGATCAGCACCTGACGGAGCATAAAATTTTTGATAAAATAGTATTTCTGAATCAAAAATGTGACTATCCTTTAGATTGTTATTACAATAGTTATTGATATTAATAGTATATATCTATTTATGTAATACCTATTTTATACTATTTTAAAATGCATTTTCTCCATTAATTGTTTGATCATTTATTAATAATTTTATTCAATTCAATTAATTATTAAATAAAATTAAAAAATGTCGACAAATTCAATAGAAATCAGACTTATTCATTAAAATATTCAAATTATTAATTTATGTTTAATATATTATATATTTGTAATATAAACCTAATTTAAGTTTAAATGCCTCACTTTTTCAATATCAATATAAAGATATTGTATAACAAATAATTCATTAGAGATTATACTATATAATCAAATAACAATTTATTAATAAAATTGAATTAATGTATTACATTGAAATTGTTTTGAATTTTAATCAAAAAAGATTGATTTTATAAATTAATTTATCATCAAAAAGATTAAAAATAAACAATTTATGTTTTTGTCAAATTTAGTCTATTGTCACTAAAATAAAATGTAATAAAATTGCTCAACAATAACGAAACATTACATTTCATTATTGATTAAATAAAACAATAGTCAAAAAATTTATTAAAATCACTGAAAATGTGGTCACAAATGTTTTCGTCACTAAAAACTGTTAAAACAAATAATCTTTTCGCGTCTTTCGTCGTCTGAATAAAAACATTGAGTTCAGAGTATTGATTGATTTAAATAACTGATTCATGCATTCAGTGATCATCGAGTCGTTGCTGAAGTCACATGAATACCAAATTGAAGTCAAAGCCAATGAACGCAACTTTAAAAGCCTCTGAAGTGACAAAATGCCAGAACTGGTAATACCTGTCATCTCACCAAACGTTCCCAACTGTATGTGCTTTAAATTATAACAGTTATGAGACATTGCAAACAAAGACTCGTCGGTAATTTCTGAATTAATACAATTTCTAAGTATTAATAACTCAAGACAACGACATCCCATAAATAATTTAATCATTTGGCTGTCAATACAATGTGCTATTGAACCACATCTTCCGGTAAATTTTATGTCCAAATGTCTCAACGCTTGCAAATGACTAATGCAAGCGATGGCCGAAAAGTCATAGTTATCGGTATAGGTTTCAATCACTAATTTCTTGATATTAATAAAGTTATGGCACAACAATTGCAATCTCAAACTATTAATATATGATTTACTAATAATAAGACTTTTCAAATTATAACACACTTTGCTTTCGATGAGAATATTTAACAGATCTGAGCCAATATTCACTGATATTTTTATGAGACAAACATCAGCCAATGTTTGCCATCGATGGCTAACTTGACGACAGCTTATAATATCAAAGGCACTTAATCGCGATATAATATTAATTAACAATTCGTTTGGTAAACAATTAAATGTTACCATTTTATTACACAAATCACTTATTGATTTATTATTAATAGAGTTACAAAAATTAATAAAAATATATTTAAGCAAAAATATTATTAGTTTACTAATTAATAAACTGTTTAATTTTTACCTAATTTAATTGTATAACACATGAGTTAACATTGTGATACGGTATGTACTCCACAAAAATATAACATTGTGTTAATCAAAATGGCTAAAAAATTAACTAATTATAAGTGTTTAGAAAAATATTAATGCAATTGTATTTGACATGTTTAATGTAAAATCAAATTGTAACTATGAGTTTGAAAATTGAAAAATTTGTGAAGTTATATTTTGTACATAATGTCAAATATTTTCCAATAAATCTATTTAACTTATGAATTGAAGCACTTAATAGAAATTTTCAATCTTTGATAATCATAAGATACAACAATATCTTAATAATAAGTTTACGATAACAAACATATTATTATAATAATCTAGACTTTTCATACATATCATATGTACGTAAAGTTAATAAATTTTGATATTAAAAATAAGAGCAAAGTTTAATATGTAATTTTAATGCTTATTTTAGCAATAATTGCTTCTAAAAATTATTTCTAAAAACACTATTAATTTCTACTAAATATTTAAACCTAAACTGATATTAGTTTTAAGATTTACGAAAATTTATTTATTAAAATTGTTTTATTTTAATTCAATTGACTAATTGGTAGTTATAATAATGGTCAATAATAATAGTAAGTATTAATTTTATATGAAACAAAACAATTAGTCCTATGATTTTTTTTGTTGTATTTAAATTTTTATAAACGTTAATAACTTGTATTTAAATATTAAAATTTGTTAAGTACTGATTTTATCAATTAATTTGATGTTATATTTAATAGAAAAATAAAAATTATGCATATTTTAGTAATTTAAATATAATATTAATTAACTTTTCATTTTGCTTTTAACTATAAGAAATTTATTGCTAGAGAAAAATTTCTTATATTTATCATTCATTAGATCCAATTGATGTCAAATGTGTTTGAAATTGTCATTTTTATTTAGTAATAATCACTTAATATGCAAAAGTTGTTTCTAATGGTCACAAGAGTCCACCATATCTTTACTTTTACTTGACTAACAAGTTTGTCATTGAATAATGACTTGAGTTTTGAATTTGTCTCAACAATTAATTGATAACTAATTTTAAACTGTGTTCGGGTTAACAATAAGATTACTGTAACCTAAAATTTTAATTGAAATTAATGTTTATTTAATTAATCAGATTTTCCTATTACACACCATTTCATCGGATACTTTATCTTTATTGAGAAAATTTCAGATATGGTTAATGTTAATTAGGAATATCTGCCGTATTAGACAATAAACCAATTAATTAATTAAAAATAATAATAAGAGATATAAAATTTTAAAACTATAAACAAACATTTTATTGCTAAGGTAATTATTTTTTAGACTATTTTTATTACTTGAATATATTTAAATATATTAACTTTTAACATATAAATTTTTATACAATCAAATCAATTATCGAAAATGACAAAATTATTTTAATAATAAGTTAAACAATAATTAATTGATAAGTTTGGAGCAGTCAATAGTTTTATAATTTTGATCATAAAATCTTTTGTCGACTTTATTTAAGTCCAAATAAATGCGTCCATAAGTACATGTATGTGTCCGGAGCCGATCATTTTGGTTGTCATAATAGCCGGTAATTACATAATTGGAGTCCATTTTGAAGACTCGTCCGCATAATTCCGAAGTACGAGTCGTCCAAATGCGTCCCGATTTCATGGCTTTGCTTAATTGGTCGCTAGTCTTGTATACGTTAACCACTTCCATGTCATACCACGAGTTGAGCTCATCTTCAGTGTCGTGTCTTTCACTGGTAATCGTTATCTGAATTGCAAAATCAGAGTTACAATAATATTGGGCTACACTTAATGGTCCGCACCGGCAGCCCATACATTGACATAATAGACCACTAAATGACAGTCCAAACAACAGAAAAAGATAACTCATAATTTTGCGACTATTTTATATAAAATTTTCGAAAAAAAATAATTTTTTATTATAAAATATCGTTTTTATACACTTTATTCAAAAAAGTCGTTCATTGGGTTATTAACATTTGTTTTGCGGATAACCTGAACAAACATTTATTTGTTTAATATATATTTTATTTATTGTTAATTTAAATTACATTCCAATTTAGTTGTTATAAATTTAGGCGGATAGAAATAAACTATTTAATTATCGTTATATAATATAACAATTGTAGTATCATTTAAATAGTGAAAACTACTCATTAACTTAATAACACAACATATTAATTTAAAGAATTTTTTTTTCAAAAATTATGCAAACATTAATTAAATAAAATTTATTAAATATAAAATTAGATGTCTTATTATTTAATTTATTAACTATATAGTTAATATTTATAGTTTATTTATATAAAACAATTTGTTTATTTACGTGAACTTTATATTGTGAAGTTCATTAAACGCTATATTACTTTTTAGTCATAATAATAAAGTTTTTTATTGTTAACTACAGTATAATAATAATATAGTAATAACTATAAAATTTTTAAAGCAAACTAATTGTTAAACTAACTGTTGTTAGCTTTACAACAAGATTCACATAAAATAAAAATAAAATAAACATTTGATTTGATTTTGGCCTTAAACTTGATATAATAAAACTATATAAAAGATACTACTGTACTAACATTATACTTAAAACTATTAATAATAAAAAAGTTAAACAAAAAAGTGTGTTTATATTGAATCTAATTATTTAATTGAAAGCTATAATAAATATAATAAACAAATATTGACCATCAACTACAGTATGTTAAGCTATGCTTATTGAAAATTGATTTCCTATTCAACATTTAATGATTAGTACAGTACAGGTTTATTGGTTTTTAAGTTTTTACTATTGTTATTATAATAATATTATGTTTATTTAAAACTTTGCTAAATACTCAAAATAAATGTCTCCTATTTTATAAAAACTGTTTAAATTTAGCATCATAAAGTATCTTAATATTTATTTATAGTTTATATATATATACGTATTTTTAAAATTATAATAAAACTATTTTTATTAAATTAGATGCAGTATAATAAAAAACTAATTTTTTTAAAAAAATGTTTTAAATATATAATTTACTACAAAATAATTTGAGATTTTAACAATTTTTACTCCACATAACAGTCGATATACTAAACTTTAAGTAGTCCTAAGTTTGGGGATAACGGTATGTGAGTGACCATCACTTTGTACAACATTTAATGTCCAATTAGACTGTAAAACACAAATTTATATTTCTATTTATATTGAAATAGACCAACAATTTAATACTACTGTTATTACCATTTATATTATATAATTGTTATATTGGTTTTGTGTAACTTAATTATTATCCAAACAAAAGCAAATAAAAATGTCTTATACTTAACTTAATTTACAGTAATGTTATTTGTTTTCCATAATAAAAATTTAATTTTTTAAACCTTTTATCATTAAAATACTGTGCTTTGAAATTATTGATTGTCATGAAAAACCATAATTTAACTGTTTTTTAAAGTTCAATGTCAGCACTGTTACTAATGATTTAAACTAATGAATATTTGTGTTTAAAATATATAAATAATTTATGATTACTAAATTTTTTTATTGTATCTTAATTCGTGTATTACTTATTGCTAAGTTTTGTTTATTTTTTATAAATAAATATATCATAATTATTGATTTATATTATTGTCTAAAATTATATTAGGTAATCTTGATTTAAAAGTTAATATAAATAAAGCAACTATTTTAATTAATTATATTAAGCCTTTAGTTATAAATAACAATAAAATATATTTTTTTAATAATTATATAATTTATTAAAAATAATGTATTATATGTCATTATTTTGTTAAAGATTTATTGTTTTAGATTTGGGACTAAAATTAGAAAATTATTTGTTTTGCATATATAAAACATTTTATTTATTATTAAAATTTATTATTAAAATTTTCTTAAAAAGTTGTTTTCAGGTTTAATGAAAATAATAATCAGATAAAATTTTAATTATTTTATTATTATTGTTTATATTATATAATATTTGTTTTGCTAAACATAGTACCGTACATTGTTATATATTTAAAAAAAATTAAAAAATAAACAAAATCGGTTACCAAAAATATATATTTTGGCAAAAAGTACTGTCAATTATATAAAAATAAATTACACAAATAAAATATCAATATCACGTTTAACTTAAACAAATATAAAAATTCTAAATAATTATAGTAAAATAATAAAACAAATGATATGATTTTACATGATTTACATGATTTATATGATTATTTTTTTATAAATAAAAATATTTCTAAAAATAGTGATTTATAATATTAATATAACAAAATATTCTAAGTATTTTATGATAGCCTATCATTGATAGGTGTAAATTTTTTTAATGATAAATAGTATTTATATTACTATATTAATACTATATTTTAAAAACTTACTTTATCAATGTAATTAAAAATTATTAATTGAATATAACATGAATATTCAAAATATTACATAAAATATGTATTTATATTTGAAAAATATAGTATATTTTTATTAATATTTTTTCTATAATTAATTTTTAGATTACAATATCAATAATGATATGTATTATTAATTAATATTTATTAATAAAAATAATTTTTTAATTTAAAAATATGAATGCATCTATAAATCAATGGATTTTTTTTAATTTTAAGATATTTAGTAATAATAATAACGATTTATGAATATAATTATTAATTTGATAAATATAATTTATTAATATTTATTTAAATGATAAATAGCTTTATAATGGATCGACAATATCAGGTACAGTGAGTGCAATAATAGTATCACGTTTGCCATCAAAAACAATAACAAAATATCGCATTTCAAACTAATTCCCATATTTAGTAATAAAGTGCTCGTGATTTGAATAAAATGTAAGTTTTAATGTTATTTTTAAAAAACATTTATAACTTTTTACAAGTTTAATGACATTTTACTTGTGTATCATATAACAACAATATTGTAAAAATAATATATTAACTATAATTAATTATTTTATATTAAAAGATTTAATGTCTAATAATTGTTAACAAATTGCTTTATAGGTTAAATGCTAAACTATCACTAATATGACATTAATTTTATTTAGTATTACAAAACATAAATAATCTAAATGTAAATTAATTAGCATTTATCGATATACATCATATAATTATCAGTTATACAAGTATACAGTACATTATAAGTGCATAATTTATATTTAGTTATATATCTTTCAATAGTAACTTTGAAATATTTAAATTATTAAATTTCTGACAATTAATTGTATAATAACATTAAATTTATTTATGATTAAAATAATTAAAATAAATTCATATGTCAACAAATTAAAACTATTTTTATACTACATATAATTTTATAAATATATAATTTATAACTTGTATAAATTTAATAACACTAATTTACATATTAAAAAATAATTTAAATCATTATCAATAATTATTTAGCTAACAAATTAATACAAATAAAAATTTAAGTGTAATGATAAAGTTTAATTGTTAATGTGTATAAATTTAAGTTTTCAATATAAAGATCATATAATGTCATCGACATATCATATAAATTTATATCAAAGACAAATTTGTAATTTAAATAATAGTTTTATTGTACAGAAATTAACATTCATTTTTTGAATATATCACTACTAATTGATAATATCAATTAATTAAATCAAATATAATTTAGTTAAATAGTTAATTATATTTTGTTTATTTATAATTATTCAGTACCTATATTACTATATTGAGTACTGTATTACAATTACAAGTATATTATATATATATTAAGTATAAATGCGATATATTTAATCAACTTGTGATGAATCAGTCTTGACATAAATCAATTGTAAGTCTCCATCGATTTCAAGCATATTAGCTGTGGTAAAGTCAATCAATTGAGAGATATAATCACAAGAGTGGTGTCCATTAACTGATATACGAAACCGATTGTCAATTATATCGATTTTAATTTCAAAAAATTGTTCGCTTGTATTGGTCTTGAATGGGAAGTGTTGTAAAGTTGTCTCATTCTTAGTCCACTTATTATCAATTCTGCTTTTTCTTACCACTTGTTTATTATCAAAGTCAACAGTGATAGCGATGGCCACATTAGGTGGTTGTCCATCACTATTTGGTGAACATTGAAGGCAAACTTGAAAACTTTTTGGCGTTTTAAATACCTGACCGTTGATTGTTATAGTCATACCATTTCTTAGACAGTTATAGACGGGTTGACAGAATGGTATCGGAGGATAATAGATAGTCTTCTGTGACAAAACCATATTTGAAACAATAGAGTGACGACTTGTATAAAGATTAAGGTTGTGATCAATCTCTTGTTTTATTTGAATCTCTTTGGATGGTGTGTCAACTTTATCACCATTTGTTAGCATTTTATGTGAAGTTGTCTTCTGATGGTTGAATCCATTAAGAATGTCTTTTGCAATGATAACTGATTCAACTTCAACATCACCTTCAATGCTAAATATACCGATATATTGAATAGGAATTCTATAGATATACAGTCCATAATCAGAACCGTTGATTAATATCTTAACAAACGATTCCTTAAAAACAAACTTCACTTCAAACCACTGTTTTCTAGCAAATGGAAAGTCATTACGAGGTTTTTCTTGTGGACCCCAATGGGTGCCAATACGACTGTTATTCACTATATATCCGTCTTCATCATCGAAATGTGGATTAAATTGTAGGGCAATATCAGCACAATTATGAGCAACACTACTGATCTCTTGGCCGACAATAAAGCTTAAAGTAAATTGATTGGCAAATCGTGGCACTCGTCCCCTCACTATAACACATGTGTTGACATCAACTCCCGGTTCCAATAATTGCCAAAATGGTATAAAAGGTCTTTTTATTATTTCGGGCACAAACTGTCCGCAATCACTCATATTTTATTATTTTTTAACTAAAGCTTTTAAATAAAGTTTGCAACTAAACTCAAATTTTTATATTTTTCATCCATAAACTCAATTTAAAACTTTGAATAATAAATAATTATGATTTATTTCCAAATAATACAATAGATATTATTGTGATTTATGATATCAAATAGATATTATCAATAATACAAATAAATTATTTGAAATAATATTATAATGTAAATGAATCACAAATTAAAATGCTTTGTCACACAACACATCATTATATTAAATATATACCACAAGACCTCCTCTTTGAATATTATTATTATTATTATTATTATTATTTAGAAAGAGTTGATGCGTGAAGACTAATAAGTTATCATTTATTAAACTATTTATTATTAAATAATACAAATTTTTTAGCTAATGATGTCATTTATTTCAATAATAACATATTTCTAGATAAACTATAGTAATAGAAACCCAAATAACCGTATGAATTGAAATAAATGTTTTAATTTTTTTAAAGTCAATATTTGCAATAATAACTTATTAAATGTAAAGTCATATAATAAAAACAACAATTTTAAATCTATTAATTTTTTTGCTAGTTTTCACTCTCACACTCCTATTTAGTTTAAGATTAATTTATTAATTTATTTCAAGGATATTAAACAATACAATTGTCTCTTCATCACAACATTTAATACATAATTTAAATATCCGACACAATACATAATAATGTAAATAATAAAATATAGTTATATATAATCATATCACTTAATAAAAGCCTAAATTAGCAACATTTGAAGGTTTTTAGTAGTGGTATATTGTGTTATACTGTAATCGTAAATAACTATCAAATATTATTTCTATGAATGTGTTCATTAAAATTCAAATGTGCTTTTCAATTGCATTCAATTCTATATTCATAACATTTTTTGCAATAATATTTAACATTTTCAAGTTTTTTTTGTGGTTTAATTTTTTTTGGATGTCATCATAACATTAACATTTAAATAGATTTATTAACAATAGTGTATCAAAATTAAAATATGTTTATAATTTTAGTTAAACTAGTATATTACTATACATAGCACTTTTAGCATAGTCTAAAATATATTATAGTAATTTAAATTACTTTAAACATATGATTTATTTTATATTTTTACATTATTTGCACAAATAGTTGTTCTAAAAAATGCATTTTTTATTTTTTTATATATATATATTATATGGATATTGTGTTACATTAAAATAAACTGCGATTATTTATCATTTCAAATATATGTAAAAATTATTATAATAATAAAATTCAACATTTGAATGCTGTCTATATATTTAAAAATCAAATATGTTCTCATTTCAAGAGTATATTTATTAGTTAATTAATCACTTGAAATGATTATATATTTTCTATAATTAATTGAAATATTGATATATTTTAATGTATTTTCATTTTTAACTATATTTTATCACTAAATATTCGTGAAATGTATTTTTAGAAAATGATAGGTTTTAGTGAATACATTAAAATTATTACTATTGTTTGAAAATATATTTAAAAACAAACCAATAAATAAATAATTGAGTAAACTATCAGTATCAATCAAAAATATTATAAAAATATATTCTGTATATAAAAAGTTAAATAATCAATAAAAATTTAGATTCAAATTTTTATTGATTTATCCAATGATTGGACTTAATCTATAATTTACATGCAAGTTTAAAATTATAATTAATCAATAAAATAATTATAATAATTATCAGTTTATCACATTTTACATATTAACTATGAAAATATTTTATTAAATAAATTTAATATAACAAAAAAAATTGTAAAAAAATGATAAACATACTGTATTATAAATATAATGTGATTAAACACTTTTTATATTTTTGGTTCAAATTATAATAAAAAAAACTTTCATAATTATCAATACACTTAATAGTTTTTGAATCTAAATCAATAAAAAATAAGATAGATCATTTTAAAAAGTTATATACAATAGCTTACTATAATAATTATATTCAATATTATAGTTAAATATTGTTATAGAATGTATTGAAATACTTTATATTAAAGTAAATTTATAATTATATTTAGTGTTTTATAAATTATAGTTTTTATCTATTGATAGATGAATCTAACAAATACTCAAAACAATAAACTTATTGAAAACTATTAATAAATTAATGAACCAATAGTTATGTAACGTATATAAGTACTGTAAAAAATATTATTATAAAAATACTAAAAGGTTAACAAGGTAAATTAATAATTATTGTAAATTATATAGTATTTAATAAATTTATATGTAGTATTTATTATATTTTACAATACAAATAACTTATACCTAATGATACATTTTAATTTTGTTAAAATTTTATATTTAAACTAAAGCTTAATTTATTTGAAATTCAAGTTAATAACTAACTAATTGTATTATTAATGTATAATTTATTAAAATTTATTAAACTTAACGGAATATTAAAAAATATTTCAATTTGTATTTTATATACCAATTGATTAATTTGATATATAGTACGTAATGTATGTATAATAACAATATTAATGTATTAATAGTGTATAATACAAATTGTGTGAAATATTTATAAACATTTTCAATGCATTACAAACGTTAATAATGAACAAAGAAATAGTCAAATAGTATACTATTTCTACTATTAATATCTAATGAATGATATGATAGTCACACGTCTTATTGAAAGTGTGTTGAGTTTGTAGTTATTTTTGAGTTAGTGTTTGATCCGATCGGTGATCAACTGGTGATTGACAATTGTTGGACACATTTAGGTGATTGTAAGAGACAAATATGGTGTCCATACTGGCACAGGTGGACACATCACACGATGATATGATCCACGATTCACAGATGGACTATTATGGCACACGACTGGCCACGTGTTCATCCGATCACACGGTTAAAGTGTTTGAAATAGTTAACGGTCAACAACGGCTGTTGGCCACATTGGTTGGTCACGAGGGACCCGTTTGGCAGTTAGGATGGGCTCATCCCAAGTTTGCCAATTTGTTGGCCTCTTGTAGTTATGACAAACGGGTGATTATCTGGAAGGAGGTGTCACCCAATCAATGGGACAAAGTCTATGAACACATTACTCACGACTCCAGTGTTAACTCTGTCTGTTGGTCGCCACCAGAGTTTGGCCTTATGCTGGTCTGTGGCTCCTCTGACGGCGCCATTTCTGTCCTCACGAGTCAAGGTATTCAACCATTTGATGACTTTGTGAACAATAACTATCTTTGATTGCGCTTACCTTTTCTTTATGTACTCTTTTTAATGGGTCTTAGAGGCAGATAAAGTGCATAAATTATACTATAATTATCATCTCTTTGGTCATTAACCTTATGTGATCCCAAGTGAAAAATAATTATTACATATTATTTTTATATTATATAAAAGGTGACAGTAATTGGGACTCAAAGAAGATAACGAATGCTCATTCTGTTGGTTGTAATGCCGTGAGTTGGGCGCCGGCCATACCATTGTTGGGCAATAATAGCGATACAATGAATAGACAAATAGTCAAGAGGTTTGTGTCCGGAGGTTGTGATAATTTAGTCAAAATTTGGAAGTACGACGAAAACGACGAAAAGTGGATCGAAGAGCAACGTCTAGAATCACACACCGATTGGGTTCGGGACGTGGCCTGGGCTCCCAGTGTAGGCCTACCCAAGAGCTATATTGCCAGCTGTTCTCAAGACAGACGTGTAATAATATGGATTAATACGATGGACTCACCTAACAGTTCTAACTGGAGTTATAAAGTATTGAACACATTTGATGACGTTGTTTGGCACGTGAGTTGGTCTGTTATGGGTAACATACTCGCCGTTTCCGGTGGAGATAACAAAGTTAGTCTTTGGAAAGAAAATTTTGACGGCAACTGGATTTGTATCAGTGATATGACTGGCAATAAAGGCTAACTCAAGAGCACTGGTATATCATCATCGCTTTAATTTTAATTCATATATATATATATATTGATAACGCATTGTATCAATAATTGTTAATAAATTCAATTCAAAGACAATTGTGTTCATCAATAGATATCACGTACTCTATATACTGTATAATGTATTTAATAATAAACATTTTGTTGTTTAAAATATCAATAATTTTATAACTATTTAAGTTAAAAAATGTTTTATTTTTAATAAACTTCTGTAATAAGTTTAATAAAATAATTGTAAATATAATAAAAATATGATTTAATTAATTTAATTACTGTATTTGATGTATTGAATAAAATTTATTAATACAGTCCACTAAATATTAACTAATGTATTAGTTTTCTAATGTATAGCTATAGCTGTAAACGTCTCTATTGTAAGTCTAACGTCAAAACATTGTATTAAAAGGTAAACAAAACAAACAATTTTTGAGACAACAGATGATTAGGATATTTGATATTTAAATATTAATTGTAAGACAATTTTGTGTCAAATTTATAGATAATGGCTTTTCTTCAGGTTTGTCACTATCTGATCAATAGTCTGTTAACTTATTATCACCTTTTTAGTGGAGACGATTCAATTTCTTTGAAAAACAGATCCTCAAAGACGAGTCCAATCCATTCAGTGATTTGTTAAGGGTTTGTATGAATAATTTGATTACTTTTGGTGGTAATGATGTCATACCTCTTGGTATTATAGAAGACACGCATCACGTGTTCGAGTTCTGGCGGATCACATATAATCGTCGGCGACAGCAATGGATGGATACATATAATCGACAGACAGTTGCAGTTCTCATCGTTTGTCGCCTACAAAGTGATAGTTAGTCACTGCCATCAAGTGATATCTTCGGCCTATTTGTTTACAGTTGGTGGCGATGAGGCCGGTATTAATCCTGTCGTCAAGATATGGAATCGCGAGAAACTTAATGCAGAAGGAGTTCCATACTGTTCACGAGTAATACGACTGTCGACCGGATTAATACCGTCGCCGGTGACGGCAATTGACGTGTTGGACACAATGATGATGTGTATAGCCTTTGCCGACGGACATATACTTTTGTTTAGAGGAGATATAACACGAGACAAAAATTGCAAACAAAAACTGATTGCCATATCCACGAGTCCTGTCACTGGTCTGGCATTTAAAGTCAACAACACTCCCGGCATTAAATCAATGCACAAACAAATTATTTTGTTTATATCAACGAGTAAAGAGATAATTAGTTATAATGTGACCACAAGAGACAAAGAGATCAAAACTATTTTAGATGCCTTCGGATGTGATGTTCGCTGTTCTTGTCTGAAGAATGATCCCAAACAATTGGAAGCGCTATTTATTGTGGGGCGTAAAGATGCCATTTATTTTTATCAAACCGATGAACGCGGACCGTGTGTGGCCTTTGAAGGCGAGAAACTAATGCTTTATTGGTATCGAAATTATTTGATAGTTATCGGCAAAGAGACGCCAACTTCGATCAACAATGAAAAGCTAAATGAAGTTCAAAACATGCAAATAATTACCATTTATGACATCTCACACAAATTTATTGCTTATTCATCGCCCATTCCTCCTGTGAGTGAAGTATTTGGTGAATGGGGTTCTCTTTATTGTATAACCACTGATGGCCGAGTAGTATATCTTCGTGAAAGTGATACACAAACTAAACTCGAAATGTTATTTAAGAAAAATCAGTTTTCTTTGGCTATTGATTTAGCAAAGTCTCAACAATACGATTCTGATGCTCTCTCAGATATATTCAAACATTATGGCGATCACTTGTACCGTAAAGGTGATCACGACGCGGCTATTGCACAATATATACATACTATCGGCCGATTGGAGGCTAGTTATGTGATACAAAAGTTTTTGGACGCCCAACGAATACATAATTTAACCGCTTATTTACAAGCACTTCACCGCAAAGGTTTGGCTAATGAAGATCACACAACATTGCTGATCAACTGTTACGTCAAACTTAAGGATAAGTCTAAATTGGATGAGTTTTTAAAGTCGGATGAATACGATGCCAACATTTGTCATTACGACGTGGAAACTGCTATCAAAGTGTTACGACAGGCCGGCTATTATGATAACGCTCTCTATTTGGCCACAAAACATAAGCGCAACGATTCATTTCTCAACATTAGTTTAGAGGATAAGCACGACGCCAACGCTGCCATTGATTACATGAAACATATGGATTGGCCTGAAGTTTGTGATTATATGAAAAAGTATGGACGCATTCTTATGAATGAAGAACCGGACAAAACTACTGATATACTCAAGAGGTTGTGCACTGAGTATAAACCTGAAGGTAGATCTCAAAACATGACTTAATTGTCTAGTATTTACCGGTAATGTAAACATATTTTTACTTTAAAGAACAATCATTGGATGACCAGATAGTGACCGGTTTGGATCTGTTGACAATGTCTGAAAGACAACGTCCGAATCCAGAAGAGTTTATTCATATATTTGTCAAAAACTCACAGAAACTCATCGATTTCTTGGAATATATGATAGAAATGCGTGACAACGACTGTTCGGCTGAAGTACACAACACTTTGCTTGAACTTTATTTGCAATCTTATAAAACTGAGATTAAAGAGGATGTAAGTCCTATAAAAATTAAAAAAGTTATTTAATTTATTAATTACCTGTAATTGACATTTTGTTGTCCATTACAGGGTTTAGCAATAAAAGAGTCGCAAATTTTAAAGTTGTTGAAGAATAATGAAGCCAAGTATGAAGTGGAACAGGCAATGGTATTGTGCCAAATGAGTCACTTTGACGCCGGTTTACTATATCTCTATGAAAAAGCAAAGATGTTTAAACCAATTCTTAATTATTACATATCCAATGGTAATGGCGCTAATGTTTTAGAAATTTGTCAAAAATATGGTAACGAAGACTCTAATCTATGGGTCGATGCTCTCTGGTATTTCTCAAAGACAGAAGACAATGAAAAAACAATTAAAGTGATCAATGGTTTGTTGTTTTGAGATTTTCTACAAAAAAAGACAATCTATTTATTATATATTTTTAATTTAGAAATAGAGACCAAACGATTACTCCAACCGATTATGATTATAGAGATATTATCGCGGAGTGAGTCGGCCACACTCGCTGTCGTTAAAGACTATTTGGTCCGATGGCTAACCCGAGAGAACGAACAAATGGCTGAAAATGACAAACTTATCGATCAATTCAAGGACGACACCGAACGTATGCGACAACAGATCGATGAGATGAGAAGTGCACCGAAAGTATTTCAAGCGACCAAATGTAGTGCTTGTAATCATCAGTTAGAGTTACCATCCGTTCATTTTCTATGCGACCATTCCTACCATCACCACTGCTTCGAGAGTTATGCCGCTGAAAATGATTCCGATTGTCCGCTTTGTTTGCCTGAAAATAGGTTTGTATTAATTTATTTGTCTAAAAAATTACTAATATTTATATATGTCTAGTATAATACTTTTGAAACTCATTAATAGTTATTAAAATTAAAATTTATTATAAATTATTTAGGAAAATTTTGAGTCAAATTCATACATTAGAAAATGTTAAAAATGTTAACGAAATGTTTGAAAAACAATTACAAGAATCGGACGACTGTTTTACTGTAATATCTAATTATTTTAGTCAAGGAATCTTTAACCGATTGTCGCCCCTCACTGATGAAAGTGTCCTACAATCCGGTGCGTCCGGTCGACCCAATACTTTAAATTTAGTTAATTATAATACATTTTAATATATATATAATAATATGCAGTCTATACTGTAATGATTGTGGTCAGGTGTTAATGATTGTCAATTGTCAGGTTTAGCTCAATAATATGTAAGACAATATAAAAAAATTAATTTTAAATGTAAGTAATGAAAAAATTGTGACCACGTGTTTAGACCAATTGGCATTAATATGCAACTAAATTAATTTAATATATATATATATATTCTATACATAAAGAGTGTATTTTTGTTTGTAATGAGATTTTTATATTTATTACAGTATATTATTGTACAGTAAATACTTACTGTACTATATTTTAGCTATAATTAAACTTGTTTTAAGCTATTTGCTAAAATAATTTATAGAATTATATTATATAGGTTTATTTTATATTTAAAAATTATAAAACTTAAAGTTTTACATTATCTGTAATATTATACAACGATTAAAACCTTATTAAAGTGATATTTCTTTTGATAATTTGTTTACTTTTATATAATATTAAATTTATATTAAATTTTTATACCGGTATTTATTATAAATTACCATAAATATATAAAATATTTTTACCAGATAAATATTTTTTATTTTTTAAGATCATTTATTTATTAAGATTATCGTAAAATTGTGTTTATTCCTCATATGGAATTTTAAAAAAATGAAAAATAACATTTTCATACGGTAAAAAACTCGCATAATTTACCACCCTGGTAACGAGTCTGTGGGGAAAAGCAAAATTAGGGGAATATGGAACTGTAATGACCGATAATTATCAGTAATCTATTAAAAGCAGTATATTTAGATATTACCTGTAATTAATTAATTAGTTATAACAGTTATAACAATAAAAGACATTTGTATACATTTATAGTATTATATTATAAATCGGTAAATAGATATTCAAAGTGTTTGGAACAACTAAAGACGTCTAAATACAAGGGGTTGGAAATCTTTAAAATTTAAAAAACAGGCAAATTATTATTCAAAGTAAAAAAATATATTTTTTATATGGTACAAAACTCGCATTATTCCCCATGACTTTTACATATGGGAGAAAAAACACAATTTTGCATTAATTTGATTTTGAGATTATTTGTACGACTTAGTGTTTAATAATAATTGTTTGTTAATAATTTGTTTTATCTAATATATTAAAGTATATTACACTTTAATATTGATAATAAATGATACAAATATTAATGACACCAATATTTGAATCAATTAAAATAAACATTTAAAATAAATTAAATATCTAATCGTATAACTTATACTTCAATATATTTCAATGATTGAAATAAAAACTAAATCAAAATTGGCATAAATTTACTAAATTTAAAATTATTTATTTTTGATTTTTTAAATAAATGGCTTAGAGTATGCTATAGTAGTTATTAAATAATTATTGGATTACTGGACACACCCACCCACCCACTCACATACTAAGATAGGAAATTTTTTAATTAAATTTGATGTAAAGTTATTTAGAGTTGATTTAAGTTATCACAACATTATAAATTAAAAATACAATTTTGTGACATATATTTAGCCGATTTTTGTCTTCAGCCGTAATTGTAATTAACGGACAAATTATTGAAATATTTGTTTCGAACAGTAATTGTCTCAATCATTCACACATCAGTACATTGCTGTCCAATACTGACAGCACTGTTGGTCTTTAGGTACTTACAGTGTGTGTGTGTGTGTGTGAGAGAGAGAGAGAGAGAGAGAGTGAGACCACAAAAATGATAATTTATACCATATTTAGTGCCATAAAAATTATTTAGACTAGTTTTTCACACAGTTTTATAATATTTAAAGTTAAACATTATATTGAATAACTTATATTCATAGCTCCCGTAGAAGGACAGAGACAATTACAAGACAAAATCGGCTAATTATATATATGTCATAAATTGTGTGATTTTTAAAGTTTTTATTTATTTATTGATATATTAGTTTTAAAAAACAAAGTTTTTAAAAATATTGAATTCAAATTCCTAATATAATACAAACTATATAATAATAATACTGTAAAGTCCAGGACAATACTCGACGTTTGACATCCCATTGTAATACAGTTTGTTATTATACGGCAGTATTATTATTGACATATTTGACTTAAATATCAATAGTTATTTTTCTAATAATTTGGAAAATAAAATTTTAGATTCAATAAAATTGTATATAAATATTAAAATGATCTATAAATAGATTTAAAAATATTCTTATATTCAATATATTCAGTAATTTAAATATTAATGAAATAATATATGTATAGTATTGCAAACATTTCATTAAAACTACAAAAAATCAGTTATTTTATGATTTATAATTTTAATAAATTATATCAAATAATTATTTATAAATTAATGTTCGACTTGAAAAAAGATTTAGGAGTGATTCACATATTACGGTCGCATTTCCCTAACCCCCACCATTCCTAAAAATAAAATAAAATACCACTATATTTATAAATAATTTAATTAAATTTAACCCAATCATATTGTAACGGTCTAGTAATACTAGTAGTATTCATTGGGTGTTACAACCCGTTACAACTACTTATTAGATAAAATTATTTATCACTACATAGTTCAGTGTATACTACTTAGATAGAAATTATTTATCAATACATAGTTCAGTGTATACTACTTAGATAGAAATTATTTATCAATACATAGTTCAGTGTATACTACTTAGATTGAAATTATTTATCAATACATAGTTCAGTGTATACTACTTAGATAGAAATTATTTATCAATACATAGTTCAGTGTATACTGCTTAGATAGAAATTATTTATCAATACATAGTTCAGTGTATACTACTTAGATAGAAATTATTTATCAATACATAGTTCAGTGTATACTACTTAGATTGAAATTATTTATCAATACATAGTTCAGTGTATACTACTTAGATAGAAATTATTTATCAATACATAGTTCAGTGTATACTACTTAGATAGAAATTATTTATCAATACATAGTTCAGTGTATACTACTTAGATAGAAATTATTTATCAATACATAGTTCAGTGTATACTACTTAGATAGAAATTATTTATCAATACATAGTTCAGTGTATACTACTTAGATAGAAATTATTTATCAATACATAGTTCAGTGTATACTACTTAGATAGAAATTATTTATCAATACATAGTTCACATAGTATACTACTATTAAATAGTCAACTCACTTTTACCGACGGTAATTATTGACCGACTTTGTATCGACACGATAGCTGGTCTTCAAATCGATTGAGTAGTTTCCGCAGTTTGTTGTGGAACTGATTCGGTGACAGCTGTAGTATCTTCAACTGTTGTTATCTTAATTATGTCGACTGCAGTCCCGTTGGGATCAATTCAGTGATAGTTATCGTGTCTTCAACTGTTGATATCTCTTCAGTTGGAATCGCTTCTTCAGTTGTAATTGATTTTTATTTAATTTCAAACAAAATTAATAGTAATAATAATGACACATATATTTTACATACAATTTATTTATTAACTTTTATTTCATACTAGATTTTTACATATCATTTCATGTTTACAACAACACTGCTAATCCTCTACTCGATCGGGAACTCCTGATCCCAACAGTTTTGTTGGACGATCAGTACGGGTGGAGTTTCACTCACAGTACACATAACAATACCATTCAAGGAATGGTATGCTGTATGTGTGTGTGTGTGTTATACATGTATACTAAAATTGTTTTCGTTAAAATAGTTTGTTAAAAATAGAAACTATTTTTAATGACTATTTTATCGGCATCCTGACCGTGGATCGGTCCCCGATCAATTACATTCAAGTTTTATATTTTTTTTGGTATTTTAGAATGCTTAAAACAACACAAATTAAAACAACAATAAGATAATAGTAAACATCAAACGTTTAAAATGCTACAATAATTAAAGCAGATAAATAAGTTCAAGCTAGACTTAAAATAAACATTTAAAGTCGTATTGATCACTAAGAGAGTAATCAAAGCGAGTCTAAATATTCTACGCGTAGAACTTCAAAACCGCCAATGTAGAACTCCTCCTCTTCATTGGTTTGACGACGTCGATACAACAGCCGGCGAAATGATATCTTCATTTCCCACTGTCAAAGAAGTAACGGACTGTGGAAGTTCGCAGACGACCACTCCCTTGTCAGGGATCTCATAAGCTTTCCCTGTATTATTACTATCAGTACGCAGACTGATTTGCGAACATGAAACACCATTTGTTTCATGTGAAATATCGTTGATATTTGGGCTATTATTATTCTCAAAATATTCTGTTTCGATAGGGTCTCTTAAATACCATAATTTAAGTTGTTCTATAGGGACTTTAGATCTTTCTCTTGGGTCTGAAAGGCTTTCAATAGTGTAGTTGTTTGGTGGGTCACCGTGTATCTTGACCACTTTATAAGGTCCAAAATATTTTAACTGCATTTTAGTGTTGACCCCCTTTTGTCGCAAAAGTTTGTATCGTCCAACCGTATCTCCGATAGCGAAAAGTTGTGAACTTCGTTTTTGATCGTAATAGAATTTTTGTTTGTCCTGAGCTGACTTTAGAAACTCTCGAGCAACTTCTCTGGCGTCGGCTAAATGATCGCCAGTTGTTTGCTTGGGGCTGTCGAATGGTAAACCAAAGGCAACATCTATAGGTTTCCGAACATGAAAACCATGCATTAAATAAAATGGGGATTTTCCAGTAGAAGATTGAGTGGATGCATTGATTGCAAACTCAATGTACGGCATAACCGACGACCAGTTCTCTTGATTGCTATGACAGTATAATGAGAGAGAGTTGATTATGGTCCTGTTTGTTCTCTCTACTAGTCCTTGTGTTGATGGCTTGTAAGGTGCACATAGACTATGTTGTGTTTGAAAGTTTAGAAATACTACTTCCATTGCTTGTGATATTAACTCCCTTGCTTGGTCAGTCAATATTCGTCTTGGACAACCAAATCTTAAACAAATTTGCTTTATAAAGAACTCAGCTATTCCTTGTGGTTGCCTATCTTTGATTTTT